GTTGCAATGTGAAGCACTATATTCTGGTGGGCTTGACTTAATGACCTTTACATTCCAAAGTACAAGCAGTTATAGAGTTTAAATCCCACCCAGATTAGGCTGCAGTTTGCCTCTGCTGCCTTGAATGAGTCATGAGTCATGGAATCAATCTTCCTTTTCCATCAGGAGTAAAAATCCAGGGAGGGGAAGAGAAATGAGAAAAGCTTCAAAGATTTTTTCTAAGAGTATGGATCAAAGGAGAAGCAGGATATTCAAGAAAGGACATGTGTATTACGAGTGGTGCATTTTGAAGGAAAAAGAGAAAACATTGCAGTCTCTGCTCTTTGTCCACAAACAGACAGCTTAAACCGACAATAATAAAACTACCCTGATATGGAACTTAGAAGCAATCAGAGATTCCCAGAAGAAGAGGGGAGGGGGAGAAGTGTAAGAAGTTTTCAGAAGGGTAATGCCCTCTTGGCTGGGATCTAATTTGCAAATTCAATGAAAATCTGTAAAAGACTTCTAAATAAACTTGACAGCAACAGCCATAATCAGGAGCATCCATGTTGCACATATCCATTTCCATTTAAATCAATGTAAGATTTTAATATGTGGAGGACAGTATGTTGTATCCAATTCTAATTCAGGGTCCAAAGTCATCCAGAGATACAGAGCTCATCCCTAAATGATAGGCTTATATTTCACTACTCCTCACATCAAAATGAGGTACAGCCTTCCTCAGGCTGGGACACAATAAGTGAATATGAAAATTTAAGAAGATTTTAGAAGAATGTTTTCTTACCCAAACCATACTACAAAACCATATGAAACCCTAGATTTAAGAGAGAAACCCCTAGTAGAAGAGCTATAGGGAGAGAAAAGACGGAAAGAATCTATTTTAAAAAGCTAAGTCACAACAACTGTTGCTGGGGAAGGGAAGGAAAGAAGGAGTGGAGAAGGTTCCATCTCTGAAAGATAATTGGGAAATACTACTAGAGAGGTGTTCTGATTAATAAACAGTAAAGCTCCAAGAACATGAAAACTCAAATTACCAAGTAGCACAAATATGTTCTCTAAGATATTGCTCTCTTATTTCTTTGAAAGAAACAAATGGAACCTATTGTGGATAGTTCATCTTTTCATATAAGAACTACACCCAGTGTTTTTTGAAGACTCTAATAGCAATCATGGATTTGGAAGAGAACTTAGAGATAATCAAATCCAACATGACTCTTAAAGAGATAAAGAACTTAAGTCCTGAGGCATTAGTCATTTGTTTTCAGTCATTTAGCAAAGGGACTTTAATCCAAATCTCCCCTAAACCAGGCCAGAACCCTTTCTACTACACTGTGCAACCTTGAAATTGGGAGGGTCGGGATAAGAATTGCAGTCTTGCCCAAGCAGAACAAGGAAAGGGGAAATGCCACACAGAAAGTCAACAAAAAGTTCAACAGCTGTTCATCATTCTTAATACAAAGTGACTGACTCAACTAATCAAGTCCTGTCCTCTTTACATGTCCTATGTGGAAGCAAACAGATTGTGTATACTCAATACATATTAAGCCTTCAACCACTTCAAAGTATAACAAGACCTTAAACATGTTTCCTAAGTCTCCAGCACCAATGAGTTTGAGGCTTTATAAATATCATGGTGAACAAGAAATGCTGTCTTGTCACATTCAAGCCAAATAACAGCTGGACTTTAAAAATAAAATTTTGAAGGCATTTGCCTTTTATATTTTTAATTTCTGTTTTCCTTGCTTATGGTTTTGTCATTCGATTTTGATGAGTGGTTAATACACAGGCACAGCTGCCTCTTTTGGTGACCTTTTCTTCACTGACTCTATGCCCAGGGCTATGAAGAAGGTCTACAAATTGCTTACTAAGTGATATTGTCATTTTCATGACTGGGAAACATCTTCCTGGGAAGCCAGATCAAACAGGGCCTCATTTTCTGGACTGACTTAATTTAGTCACTTCAGAAGCTAGACAGGAGGGTGCTGGAGGAATGGAGCGAGGGCATAACCCCTTATGCTACTCCAAAGCTGGAGGGAGTTTGATTACTCAAGGATGAAGGAAGGGGACCTCCTGAGCTAGAGGGACAGAACTCACCTGCCACCTCAGCTTCCCTAAGGAGCTCTTACTCTGAGTTTTCTGTAGAGTGCAATGAAGTCCTACTCTTCTTGGTAATTTCTCTCAATGATAATAATGTTATATGTATGTACATATTTCTCTTTTAATTTTCTGTCTTCCCTCACTAGTCCATGAGATCCAAGAGGTCAGGGACATATCTATTTTGCTTCCCATGGTTTACCCAGGATCTACTTCAGGGACCTACACACTATAGGCACTCAGAAATGTTGGTTGGTTGCTTTGCGGGACCACAGACTTGTGAAGGAGCAAAATGTATTTTTCATTATTCTGATTCTTCAGTTCCTTATAAGTTTTCCGACTAAGGGAAAGAGGAAGGAGCAAAGTAGACAAAGTATTATGTGTACCTGTTATCTACTCTGACTTTAGTATGAACTGCAACTCCAGCAGGCTTTGCAATCAGCTCGCACTTGAACAGATGCCAGGAAACAGCCTGAAGTCAGCAGAAGGCTGCTCCCCCTCCCAGCAGTCCTCACAAAGGCACCGCACTTCTGTCCATATTAGAGCAGGTAACTTGACTCCATTCATGAACTCATAGTCCCCCAAAAGCGCATGAGGTCTCAATGGCAACTCTGGGCAAGCTTCTGAAGGGAGGTTTTCACACGCTTCTTAAGCTCCTAGGCCACTACAGCCCTTCTACTGTTACACCTCAGCAGGCCCTGCTGCTGTGTGTGACTGAGTAACATGAGAGCTGCCTACAGCATGACCTGCTATATTTAGGGAGAGGAAATGGGCCATACTGAGGAAGGTCACAAGGAGTTTGTTCAGAAAAACGAAGCACTGGCATATTTATCAGTACACATAGTACACATAATGGCAGGCTGAAATTTGAGCCTGGCATCAGATCTCAGGTTTATCCTTACTAGCTATATGACTACACCAAGTTACTTAATTATTCTCAGCCTCAATGTTCTCATCTATAAAATGGAAAAAATAATAATGCCTTTTTTGTGGAGTGTACAAAAATTAAATGAGAAAGTGTGTATTTAAAAACATTCTCTGGCATGCGAGTGCTTGATAAATGTTTGCTTAAAAAAAGTAATTAGAAAAATCGGTTTGGATCTAGACAATCTGGGTGTTGAATGGAATTTCCACTGATATTTTTACAAAATATGTTTCTCTACAGTTCAGTTTTAATTTTTTTCTCTTATAATGGTTAATAACTCCATGATTATTAATTTGCCAAGCACAAAATATCAACTTGATTATCAACATTACAGAAAGGCAACTGACTATATTTTTAGCCAGTATACAACTAATTAGGAAACCAATTGAAAAAGGGTAAGGTAGTAGAACTCTATAACTCCTAGCCTGTAGCTAGACTAAGTACTCCAAGGTGATAAAAATATTTATTTCATATATATGCACAAATATTTAAATGCTCCACGGTATGATCTTCCAACAAGATTAAAATGAGACAGGCCTGAAACACTTCTTTAAATACTTTCAGGCCAGCTACCATGTCTGTGATGCAGTCAGTTGGTTAACTATGCAAGTCCCATCATTTGGACTCCATGACTCCCTACACAGAGGAAGCTCAACCCTCACCTATAAAACACCTGCACTTCTGAAGGACCATGAAAACATCATGTACTCTTGAAACATACTCTTCAAGGAGGACAAGTATAGCTCTAGTTTTGAGTCCTTACCCCAATTCCTACTCATCTTCCTCTTCCTCTTTCTCTCCCTTCCTTTCTTTTCCTTTCTTTTTGTTCCCCACACCCTCCCTGCAGCACACACACTCCAATCAGAATTTATTTTAACACCTTTCCCTCAGGACTATCATCAAACATTAGCCTCTTCTACTGGTATGAAAAACCTGCCTTCTGGAAACTCTCTGAAGTGCTTCCTAATGTCTCTTAGTGCTTGTGCCAGGGATTTCTAAACTGCCTGGGAAGGCCTGGTTCAGATGCTGCTGTGAAATGTCTTCATGTATTTTCAAGGGATTAGGGTCCTGGAAGAAATCCTGCCAGTAAAAGGGACACTAGTAAGATTCTTCCCCTCAAGCTAAAAAAGGATTTTAGCAGGGACCCAAGATGGGTGAAGTATCGCGTTACTCTGAAGAGAACAAATTAATCTTCCTTGACTGGTGGGACAGATTCTGCCAAAGAAACAGCTAACGGGAAAACCAGTCCCAACTCTGTGATGACACAGTAAATAACCAGGCAACATTACTACCGAAGTGCTGACCTAACCTATAAATTGTACCCGGCCTCCAGGGAGCAATTTCTGCTGATGTGCTGCTTGTACATTTAAGACAAACAAACAAAAAAGGAAGAAAGGCGGACAGGCATCGATGGTGCTGTAGGTAAACATTCTCAGAAGGTGGCTCTTTCCACCCAAACTTTCAGCAGACTTCAGTGATGGTTAGTGCCTTCAGTGATGGTTAGTGAATGGTACAGGCTGGGCCATTCCTAAACAACTGAAAAGTCTGTGCCAAATTTGCTACAAACCAATGTTTAGTCCCCCCAAATGGTTTGACTGCACTAGGAATTACTTGATTTGGAATTAAGAGAAATACAACTCCTCCTTTGTTTCTTCTTTTTCTCCCCCACCCCCTTAACAAGAATGCACTGAGGTGGATGAAACACAGAAGGCTGTTGTTCATTAGAATGTAGAGGGTCTTTTTATTTTAAAACGGTAAAATGGCATCTGGGAGTACTTTGATTGCTATATATTCAGTAATATAGGATCTAGCAGCTTCTCAAAGTCCTCAACTATCATGTATACTGAAGACCAACATTTCTTCTCTTTGCCACAAATCTAGCTGGTGACTCCCAAGAAAGGCCATGAAAATCTTACATCCTCCTCAGACACCTTCAGAAACACACAGAGTCACAGAAAAGAGCTACAGAAAAGATACTCACCCTCTGCATCTTCTGGCCGAGTAAGGTCGATGACACCTGGGCCCAGCTTTCCATCTTCATTTGATTTTCCTGTTAACTGGGGCCCCAAATTCTCAAAGCGCGTTCTTTCCTAGAGGAAAGAATAATCAGAGGCTTATTCTAGCTTCCAAAGCAGCCACTTTTTTCCTTCCAGTTTCTATCTTTCGAAATAGGTAGAACTTGGATTTGCAAACATGGTTTCTGATCCATTTGAGTTCTGAAAAATCTTTTAGGAACCTTCTTGTAATGCCTGATGTGGCACTGAGAGCAGTGACAGCATCTAAACCATAATAGCTTTAAGGAAAGTAAACCTGAAATGGGAACCTGCCAGAGCTGCTCTGCACATCTCTTCTGTATTGGATTTGTTCCCGTAATCTAAAAGGAATGTAATCGAGACAGTTGAGATACGTGTTCAAAAACTTGAAAGAGCAGTTCCTATTAAAATACACTGCTACATTTAATGGGAGAGGAATTTTCCCACTTATAGATCATACTTTGCATTGGTGTTCCTGGGGAAATACAAATTAGAATTTTATGCACTAGATTTCAAAAATCAATCTCTCAAAGCAGGTAGACTAGATGATGGCATTGAGACTATTGTTTTGCCTATGAGTTTCACCTGTGACTTCCTGGGAACTGAAAAGATGTCACACCCAGCCAGTCAGGAAGCCAGGTAAGTTAAATACCCTGCCCCTTTAGGCCAGAGGAGCTTTGCATGTTCACCCGTTTTCTAGGATCAAGAGTCTGACAAAGCATCACAGCGAACAGAACTCTACAGCTCTCTGGATCAGTGGCAGAGGGCTCATTGACCATCATTAATATGGTGTTCTTGTCTGCAGAAACCCAGCACGTGTCCCCCCTCTCGCCTCCTTTCTACTCTCCAGACTCAAACTTGGCTTTGTGTTATGCTTATGAATGAATGAAACCTTGTTGTTCATTACTATGAAACAATATTAAATGTCATGTCAGCTTGAATTTACAGACATGAAATAGCAGCTTCCAGCTCCGGGAATGGTTTCTGCATGTTATACTTAATGCATTATGCAGCAGTAGAGTGCTGATTGCTGTTCAGTCTATTGTTCAATGACCTAGTTCTGTACTGAGCATGTTCGGCATTAGATGGAAACACTCTGAGTGTTCTCTTCTCTAAGATGTTTAGAAACTTGGAAATATTCTTAAAGAGCAAACATACAATTACTTGATAGAGGCTGTGCCTCATTTGTACAGTCTCACTACATTTGTGCTTTCTAATATGATTATTTTTGAATATCATTATATTTCTATAATTAATTCCCATCAGTCAAATTGTGCAGGAAGTCTTCCAGTTCCCCTTCATCATGGAATTTGTTGAAATCCGTGTTGGAGGAAAACACAGCATAAACCTTGCCTTAATCTAGCACCATTTCCATGAAAGATTTGCAACAAAAATTATAATCATGAATTTGTTGAACTGAGTAATGGTAACTTGTTTTAATAGCAGTATGTGGGGAAACCTCTGAAAATAGGACACTTTTTAAAAAAGACAGAAGGAAAATAAAAACCAAATCAAGTACAGTTCCCTAATATCTTCTTATGTGAAAACACTGTTGCCCAAGAACAAATTAACCCAGATGCAGGACACAACAGAAAGCAACCACAAGCCATGTGGGAGTTTCACACATTGTCAGGGGAAGGACAGCTGCTTTTAATCAGCCAATTCCTATTTTTGAGTAGCACTTCCAGTTGTCATGATGTAAAGAAAAAGAATTAAAGTGAAGATGAGTAGTATCAGGGAAAGCAAAATATTCAACCTTTGTTTTATCACATTGTTTCGCATTTGAGATATTTGCATGTGAATGCTTTCCCTATGTTAAATGCAAAAGGAGTTTTGATGTGACACCTGCAATCTTCTTGGAAGAACAACCTTTAACTGTATTTTTATGGGGGGAAAAACAACTTTCTCTGAAAATCAACAGACCGTGCTACCTATCAATATGCATATTTCAAGTATCTTTCTAGTCATTCATTCTCTTTGATTTTACCAGAAAATATTCTCAGTAAAAAAAAATAAAATAAATAAAGTTCCTGAAAGAATATCAATATTTTGACAAGGAAGGAGAAGAGGGAAAATTACATGCCATGGTTTGTAAAATCCTAAGACAACAAAGCTTACATGATGATAATATCTTTTCTTTTATAAAAATGAAGTGCACTCACAATTCAGTAGTATCAGCTTGTTTTTAATCATAACAAAAAACATTCAGAACATTCAACAACACATTCACAGTGTCTTTGAAGTCATACATTTTTCTGACTTCATTGAAAAAAAATTCTTTTGCAAAGATACTTTCCCTATAAAATATCAATATTTTGACAGCATAGAAGACAAGGAAGAATATTCCATGAAAAACTCGTTAAATAGGCAGAAAATAAATCAATGATAAAAATTGTTTGGGGCACTGGGTTGCATTTTAAATTTGATAATATTAAGCACTGTGTTTGAGATTAAAGCAGGACTCTGCAAAGCCATGCCCTTTCATATAAATTCCCACCTCGTCTCCCAGAAGATTTTCTTCTTTTCTTCAAAGAATAGCTCAGAATATTTATTTTCCAGCCACATAACCATAAGATAAGAGGGCCTGATGTCTACAAGTTAGGTCTGGGCAGCTGAGCTACGCAAAATTTTACCAATGAGGTTGAACACGAGCCTAGTAAATACAGGATGTGAACATGAACAGAGAGATACTTTAGTTCCAAGAAGTTTAAACTTCTGACCATTACATGCCAATGGGTACACCCCTACATGGAACAAATATAGACAGTGGGTGGCAAGTTCTTAAGTCCAAATTTCTGCCACACACTTGAACCAGACCTCACAAGGTACATAGCTCCCAAGTAGGATATTTTGGAAACATAAGAAAAATACCTCAATGCTAATTTAATCCTGATACCCCACTTCCCCATCTTTTTGTTGACAGTGAAATGTACATTTTACATGCAGCAATGTGATAAGACACTTACTTATGCATTGTCAGTCACAAACATGCAGTCAACATAAAAGTTATTGAAAAAATTAAAGTCAGCTCTGCTGTGTTGTTGGACTGTTGGCTCTCTAAGTGCTTTGAAATTATGATGTATGAGGTAGATGTTGCATATTAAATAAAGATATTTAAATGATAAAGCCCCCTTTAGTGAGAGCTGATGAATGTTAAATGTTACAAGCCACAAGATGGTAGCATCCATCATCTTCACATATTATCAGAGTCAATGACGGGGCAGCTTCACTGATGACAGATAGACTGCTGCATTATTATCCCTTATTTCCAGAGTCACTGAACAAACCATTCAACTCCTCAGGCATTATTTTTAACTTTGCATTAAATTAGCAACTTTTCCCTCCCTACCATGGCGAGATTGATCAATTACATCTTTGCATCAGTGGAGAGAGAGAATGGATTTGGGGTAACTAAAAGACCTGAGGTTTGTTTTCATCTAGGGAGAAAAAAAATCTACTTCCTCTTACTTGCAACAAATGTAAAATTGTGATCCAAGGAAAGAACAGCAATGAAACAGTAAGCACACAATAATGGCTTTTCTTTGCACTTAGATAAAAGCTGAATTTTTGATGTGCACAGTATATTTTAATAAAATTTTATATACTATGTTTTATACACTTATTGGCTATTCCATAATAATGTGTGTGCTAACAGTAAAATTGCTCTTAAATTTATGTGTGTTATTTATACGTTCCCACGTAACAATGCTTTTTGTTGTAAAAAATATTCTGTTTATTAATGTAACTTTACAACCACTGCATCCAAGATCCGTGGTAAATTAATGACATTTTTATTATTTTATAGTGTCATTAAATTTTTACTGATCACTCCATCAAACAGAGGCAGTAAAGGCCATAATGTAAACTGGGACACTTAGATCAGGCAGCAGAAAGACATTCCATATAGTCTGAAGAAAACTGCTAGCAATAAATGATATTTATACCATCTTTAAGCATGTGAGAATACTTGGATAAGTTTGGCAAAACTGTTTCAGTAGTAGAGTGGATTGTGTACTTAAATAACAGTTTGCTTGCCAGAGAGACAAGTCTTTTTCAAACCATATGCAAGATGACTGATTGCGGCCATCGCCTAAAAAACAACACACCAACATAATAATGTGCTGGGCACCTTTACTCTGGATTTACCAAAACTGACCAGCCTACACCCTGCCACAAATTCTGTAAACAGTTTTATATAATTTGAAAGGGGAAAATGGCACATGCTGAGAGAAGCTTTTTTTTGTTGCTTTGCAAATATATTTCATTTAAGTACACATATCTAGACAATGATGGGATATATTTTATGCCAATGGCCCAAATGAGAAGCACTGTACCAACCAATCTTTGTTCAAAAGCTTATTTCTAAGGAATTTCTGAATATGGGGTCATTCATAGCAGCCACACAACAAATGATTAGGGGGTCATTACCTATATTGTTGTTAAAATTAGTAAAAAATAATCATCTTGTATTATTTTCATATGTAAAATACATTATAATTAGGATGCTCTATACATTGCCTCTCTTAAATAAACTTAAATGTATGTTATTAACTAATTGCCAGATATTCTATTTATACAGATAGAAGACAGTAAAAACAAAATTCTATACTCATATAATCATGGATTTAGTAGTACCTATCTTCTAACATGGAGAATTTAGTATGATTCTTTTTAAGTAAACAATATTTTATTGTTACATACCTAAATACACATTTAAATATTAAAGACTTTCCCCAAACTTTCAAATTTGTAATAAGGATTTTGTAGGAAAGATTAATACTGAAATCCCATCATGTTTTTTGTGTACTCCTGAAGCAGAATTTTTGAGAAATAAAAAATACGTGTATCATGAATAGAAATTCTGTAAGGCCACCACAGATAGTGTTTTCAGATAGTGTCTATCCTCAAAGTTTCAACTCTATCTAAGTTATTGAGTGCTTGCTGAATGAAGTCTTATTATTTTCATACCAGCTCCAAACTTCAATCTTTCTGGACATATGATTTCTACTTGTATATTTTAGTGGATCTCTGACCCAAGAAAATGCTTTCCTAAATTA